CACACACCTCAGCTAGTAGCCAATGGTACCTCTACAAAAGTGCCCCAAGGCATCCATATTGGTCCTGACTGCAGATCATCTCTCTGTTTTGTAGGGAATAGACACTGTGCAGTCAGCACACAAAGGGTTTTGTGGCAACCGCATGCAATACACTGTGCTGTCTGGCATTTTGGTGTGTGCTTGTTAAAAATATATTTGTCATCTATTGGGAAAGTCTTGAATGTAATGAGACAAAGTCTAGAATTGATGGCATGCAGTATGTACTATATCTCTATTTGGTGCGTTTTGTTCATCTCTAAACAACTTCGGCGGGATGACATATTGTGCAAAATAATTTTATCACTTAGTTTGAAGAAAACATGCATTAATGCTGCCTCCACTTTCTCTCTCTTGCTTTGTGTTTTGTTTTAGAGCCAATAATGATCTGGTTCTGTTATCTTTCCTGTAGGTACTGGAGCTGGTATGAAATATGGACTTCTAAATCATGTGCGGAGGGGCTACTAACTCTCCTGTCTAGGTCAGAACCTCCACCTGCAGAAAACGCTAATACCCTCCTAATGGAGACTGTCAAAAGCATTATACCACACGTCACTTCTGGACACTCGTAAGACTTTTGGAGGAGAACAGGAAGAAGGGACAAGCAGAGGTGGAGAATGGTTTAATGCTGGAATCATGGATCCTCACTGGTCCCCTCCCCCACTACTGTGTTCTTCTCTCTTCTGGTGCTGCTTTATACCTTAGTAATGGGGGTGGCCTGTAACATGTTGCTCTTTTTGCAGTTCCTTCCAAAACTGAGGACTTAACCTGAGAGGTAGAGAAAGGCTTCATTTTTATCATAGGGGGAAGCTATTAAAAAAAACAAATCACGCCAAAAACAAAAATCTCAAAAACCCAAAAATAAAGATTTAACTATTTCTAAGCACAGCTGGTGATTTATTTCTGGATGTTGGTGGAGCCACGTATCCAGTCTATGATTGGGATTTCTACATATAAAATCGTTTTTACTGCTGCTGATTGTATGGCTTCCTTGGCTTGGAGTTCTCTGAAAGCTGCCAAAAAATGATCTTCTCACACAAGTTTCATGGCATTTCTTAATAAATGAAGCACAATGCATGTTCACCATATTGCTTGGTGCAGTCCTTGGCTGCTGGCATCTTTTAATTGTCGGAATTTTAAGAGTACAAGAAAAGCAGAAGCTGCCATTACTGGCCAGCTCATGAAAGTACTAGTTTTCTGGCTTTCTCTGGTTCATTAATTTGGGACCCTGACTTGGAACAGATTTGCTGAGTGAAGTCTGAATTCCTGGTCCACACACTTGTTAGGAGTTGGTCCTGTAGCCATTGAAACGGCTTGACTGGCAGTTTTTTCAGACGGGCAGCAGCGGCAGCATATCCTTCGAGGCCAAACAGATGGCAATAAAACCCAACAGATGTGTTTTCTCATTCCAGCCAAAACAAAGAAAACATTTAGCTGGTGCTCCATCTTTATATTGGATCTGATGATGGAAGACTGAATGCAGATATTTCTCTCTGTGTTTAATTTTGCCTAATGATATGTCTTCATCGATCTGAGCAGAGAAGGTGAGTCATTCTATGTTGGTGGCATTGTAGAAGCATTTGCCTCCAGTTTGTACCTGACCCAGAATTACCACATATTGGAGATCTGTAACTTGTGCATGGTGCAGTATTGAGGAGACCCCCCATCATAAAGAGCTCACCTGAACAGGACATACACCATTCGTGTGCCATTTACAGAAAGCTACCGGGCACTGGATATATGGCTTCTATGTGCTAACTTACAAAAGGCAGCTGCATTTTAAACAGGACCTGTTACTTTTGAGATATCCTGTTTACCAGGTGGTTAAGTGCAAAATGATTATTTTATTTGCCTTCTTCAGAGCGACCCCTTCTATCCAGAAACTAATATGTGGTGTCTATTTTAAGACATTACTACTACCTACCTTCGTTGAACACCACTCTTCACACTTCCCTCATCCCTCCCTGCTGCTCAGCCTCTCCGTTCCTCTAAAAGTAAGAGAAGACAGGCAAGGAGCTGAAGTGGCCTTGCTAGTCTGGATGAGGGAAGTTTTAAAAGAAGAATAAAATAAGATATCCTAAACCAGGCACAGGACGGCAGATTCTCAGCAGCGACCCGGACCAGCTGATTCTGTAAAAACAGACCAGTCTTTAATTTTGTAACTTGCAGTGAAATGATGAACCCGATACCACAAAAGTAACAAGTGCACAAAGACATCCAGTGCTGGAAAAATAGAGAAGCCGAGAATTGATTGTTGGACTCTTGTTTTTGGCTGATCCATCATAGCCTTGCTGAGAGCTGCACAACAGTGTTCTTGCTAGTGCATGCCTTGCTTGCTTTCCATTCCACTTTAAAAGCAATAACCAGCAGTTTATTTAATATTACAGGATCTTTCAACCTCACAGCTACGCTGCAGCCTTTCTGTGCGTCTTCCACTTCTCAGCCTGGGTGGCACTTATCCTGACTATTCCTCTCTTTTTTTCTTTTTCTCTTCGCACACAATAAAAACAGTCCAATTTACATAAACTAAAGCAAATTTAATAAATGCACCTGGCATCCCTGCATACGTCTCCTGTATAAACAATCAGCACATGGTCTTTCCCTAAAATTAGGCTAAACGTGGTTTTCCCCATGTCTCAGAAGTGGCACATGCCAATACGTATGATGCCATTATGTATGCAAATCCCCAGTGCACGTTCCAGCACAAGGGCAGACAAATAAGATCTGCTTAGCTTATTGAGGTTACATACCACAAGATCAAAACATAGGAGGAAAAAGCTGGCTTTATTTCCCCTCTGTATTCTAGTACAAGACTGACAGCATACAGTCACTGCTTCTAATGCCGGATCAGTGTCTTTGTATGTAATCAGCTAACTGCTACTGTCTAGAAAGCATTACAGATCAGGTTCATCCCTAACACATTGTTCATTTTTTTTTTTAATACTTTTCAACACCCATTTTTTTTCCAAGCTTGACTTTAAAGCAGGGGTAAACCAAACTCCGGCCCTCCAGCTGTGGTTGTGAGAATCTTGCAATGCGTTATGGGACTTGTAGTTCCACCACAGCTGGAGGGACCGGAGTTTGGCTACCCATGCTTTAAAGTGTGCTTCTGGCCTCCCACTTTTCCAGAATTTGAGTTCCCAAGGATGACTTCTAGAAGGAAATGCTATTTAGGTACAAAAATGGGGATCATTCTGATTGTAGTTGCTTGTCATGCACAAGGCTTCTCACAGTAGCCTCTGGGGGGAAGCATTTCACATGGAAAATCCGGATTGTATTTGTGGTCTGTGTACATCTGTATGTGTCTGCGTTAAAGCATATTCAGGTGACTATATTGTCATGGGACCAAAAATCCAAACTTTTTTAAGTTGTCATCAGAAATATATGGGACATCTTTCCAATAAGGCCACTTTCTTTTCCCACCCCCGGACAACTCTGTAGAAGACCTTTCCCTTTGTGTCTCCAAGACGGTAAGTGAAAGGAATAATTCAGGTACAGCAAAAAAAAATTATGGATTTTAACCATTTTCTAGTGTAGCCACAACAAAAATGTATGGAATTTATCAAAACTGGAGCAGGCTGGGGGGCGTGTCCTAACCATTGCGGCGTGAGGTGCTCGTTCAGAGAGCTCCGCGGCTTCAGCGTATCATCGGCACACTTATCTCTACCTAACTTTCCACCACCCGTCAGACAGAGACTACTCCTTTTTTTCTACAGGCAGACAAACCTATACGCGCATTGATTACTTCCTCGTACACCATTCTGGGCTGCCATTGGTGTCTCGCTCCGCCATTGGCAATATCTCCCTGTCCGATCATGCAGCGATCTCGATAGTGGTGGATCTGGGTACGACTGGGACACAATCATGGCGCTGGCGTTTGAACGAGACCTTAATACAGGATCAGGCCTTAGCTGGAGAAATTGAGGATGACCTGCGCCTGTATTTCGCTCTCAATGCCCCCTCCGAGTGCTCCCCGTACTCGATATGGGAGGCCCATAAGACCTATATCAGGGGCACCCTGATTAAGCTGGGACACGGGTCAAACGCCAGCGTTTCCAACAGATCTCCTCCTTGCTGACACATATCCACCAACTTGAGATCCAACACAAACGGTCCTTGTACCCGGCTGTGCTCTCCCAATTGACGGCTTTACGGCAATCCTTGCGCTCTTTATGCCTACAAAAGGCTAAATCGATGCTGGCGAAATGTAGGAGACACTTCTATGAATACAGCAATCATTGTAGCAGATCTATGGCCCATGCTCTCCCTCACCAACGCTCTAAAACGTTCATCCCAGCCATTAAATCTAGCACAGGGTCCATGCTGCACTTATCTGAAGCGATTGCCGACCGATTTCGCGACTTTTACTCTGCCCTTTATAACCTCCCACAACCTGGCTCAGAAACAAGGGCGTCTCAGCGGCTATCCCACATTCGAGCTTACCTGGATTCCTCGGGCATGCCCTCCATCCCTAGTGAAGTGGTTAGCGCTTTAGAACTCCCGATTACGGAACTAGAATTGAGTACGGCTATAAAACAGACGAACACGGGGAAGGCCCCGGGTCCAGACGGCTTCACTCTGATGTACTATAAGAGATATGCCCCCCTCCTAAACTCCCACCTCGTCAGAGCCCTGAATTCAGTCACGCAAGGAATGGCGCTTCTACTAGACACTTTCTCTGCCAATATAGCGGTCATCCTGAAACCAGGAAAGGACCCACTGCATTGCTCAAGTTACCGCCCTATTTCGCTCCTGAATGTTGATACCAAATTGTTCTCCAAAATCCTGGCAATGCGTATGCCCCCATACGTTGGGGATTTGATAGACCCGGACCAGGCGGGATTTGTCCCATGCAGGGAGGCAAGGGACAACACTACTAGGGCCCTGAACCTCATACATTCGGCCATGTCGAAGGCGACTCCTGCCTTTTTGTTGTCCACGGACGCGGAGAAAGCCTTCGATAGGGTCGACTGGACATTTATGAGAGCCACCCTGGAATATATGGGGCTAGGACCAAACATGATGTCTTGGATCATGTCACTGTATTCCCGGCCCTCGGCCAGGGTACAGATTAACGGATCTCTCTCAGCGTCATTTACTATTTCTAATGGCACTCGACAGGGGTGTCCGTTGTCCCCCCTGATCTTTATTATCACGCTAGAGCCCCTACTGAGAAGAATCCGGGCCAACCCAGACATTCGCGGGGTGGAAATAGGGTCGCAATCGCATAAGGTAGCCGCCTACGCGGATGACCTACTTTTCTTCCTGACTGCCCCGGATACCTCACTACCGAACCTAATAGCGGAACTTAACACATATGGGGAATTGTCCAATTATCATGTCAATGCCCAAAAGTCGGAAGCCTTAAACCTCACGTTACCTCCTTCCCATGTCATTCGCCTACGGAATAACTTCCCATATGTGTGGTCCGAATCCTCAATCAAATATCTGGGAGTCCAGCTTCCGAGGGACCTGACCACAGTTTACTCTCTAAACTTTCTGCCCCTACTTCAGCGCCTAACGCTTGACCTCAAGGACTGGTCTCGGCTGGCATTCTCTTGGACGGGGCGGTGCAACGTGGTCAAACAGAATGTTTTGCCCAGGTTGTTATACCCTATCCAAGCACTGCCCATTTTGGTTCCGAGAGGATTCTGGAAATCGATCCAATCCTTGATCACGAAATACATTTGGGGGTCTAAACCGGCTAGAATACGGCATTCCATTCTTAGGCTACCCAAAAGACATGGTGGTCTGGCGGTCCCAGATGTTCATTACTACTATGTTGCCGCCCATCTCACGCGCATTCTGGATTGGTGTCGCCACAAAGCACAGAAACCGTGGGTCGCCCTTGAGCAGT